TTATTTTTAGGCTGATCAGTTTAATGGCAATTTTTCAGACTGACATTTATGCTGCATCAAATCTATCTCTCTATGGCAATTTTATGGGCATCTATTTGTCATTAGAATTGAATTTGTATTTCTTGGAGTACGTTCGTTGATGATTTGTGAGGGATATCATTTACATCAACCAAGAATAGCCCTTGGTGATATTAAAACATGTGTCCTTCCTTTTGCTTCCACTTGAGTTCTATACTGATGTGTTTTATTTATTGGATGTTTTTGAGATTTGTGGGCATTATATGCTTATAAGGTTCACATTAATGATTATTTAATTAGTGAATCACTTCACAAAATGTATGAAATAGCCAATATTTTTTCTAATATTTATTGGATATCATTAGAAAATAATATTAATTGTTCTAATTTTACCACATATTAAGTACGGGAGGGTGTGAGATTATGCAATAATGGTTGAAATGTGATACTTAATGGAGTTAGGGTGTGCTTGGATGTCCTTAAGAAAATATTGATCATTGATTAATATGATTAATTCTGAATATAATTGATTATGTTATATTGTATATAATTAATTTATAAAATTTATTAATAAGATTAATTATAAACATAATATAAAAGTATAAATGAAAAGTAAAATTGAAAATCAGGTAAGGCTATCATTTTGTAAAAATATATCCAAGCGCCTCTGTTATTTGTCAAGATCAATTATAAATTTCAAATAATAATTTTTTAAAAAATATTCAAACACTCATTGGACATGCTAAAATGAATTACTAATCCAAAACGATGGCTTTTTAAAAATATTTAAACACCCTTATATATGTCAAAGTTAATTATGAATTTAAGACTACAATTGTATCATAAGCTATCATTACACACATTTCAATTTAACTTTTCAATTATACTTCCAAAAAATTATCAAAAATCAGATAAATTATATTTTATCAATAATGATTCTGGGTGATAATTGATTTTGGCATATATGAGGTGTTTGAATATTTTTTAAGAAAACAATAATTCTAGATTCGTAATTGATATTAGCATTTAATTGGGGCGTGTTGACATTTTTAAGAAAACAATGATCTTTGGTGCATAATTGATTCTAACATATAATAGAGATGTTTGGATATATTTTCACTTGTAATTTTAACCTTCAAAATTGATAATTAGCTGTATCCAGATATGCGCTTAGAATATGTTTGGTTTATCACAGGCGCAACCAAAATACAGTTTCAATATACAAAATTGAGTTTCGAAAAAGCACATGTTTGGAGGCATTCTTAGGAAAAAATTGGAGCAGTGGGCTGTCTCGTGATCTCCTTGTGCCGTGTTTGTCATAAAATGTTGATCCATCTATGTGGTCCCTCTCTTGTCCATTGCCTTCTCTTTTGGGCTTTGCATCTCTCCTTCTATTTCCCATCCAGACACGATCCCAAAAAGGGTCACCCAGATTGAAGGGGAAGAAAATAATGTTGTTAACATAGGAAAATTGACTGTCAGAAAAAAAATTAAATGAATGATGGTTAGATCTCTGGCAAGATATTTCTAAAATGAATTGCGAATTTTTAAATAGAAATTATAAATTGAAATCCTAATTACAATGTAAAAGTTACATTTAAAACTTTAATACTTTGTTTGTAGTTGAAATTCTTGAATTGTAATTGTTTAAATTAATTTTTTTAATTTATTTTTAAAAGGCTAAAATATACATTTGGTTTTTTAATTTTACATAAGATTTTGATTTAATATCTAATTTTATTAAGTATTTTTTTTGTCCTCTCATTCGATACTGTTAATTTCAGAATTATTTTAAAATATGATATGCATTATGCTCCCTTGATTAGACATTAACAGGTTGCGTGCGGCTGACAATTCCAATGCTTTAAAAAACAAAGGAGAAATCATTCTTGTATATATTTGGCAAATAATAAAAAAAATGGTGATTATTGTTGAGGAACACAAAAGTAAACGGCAAAGGAAGGTAATAACTAATGACCACAAATAATCATTAATTTTTGTAATTTGCTTTATCCCTTCTTGCTCCGCTCATTTGCTTTATTCCTCATCAGAAACGTTCACTTTCATTTAATTGATTTTATTTATTTAAGTGGCAATGTTGAAGATAGGAACAAACTCAATTATTACTAGAGAGTAACAAGACGGGCCTCTTTCAGTGCTCACTGATCTCGACACATGCTGCTCTGTGACTGTCTCTTATCTTATTTATATGATGGAGGGGTTTTTTTAAAAAAATTATAAGTCATCTCAATGTTTTTTATTATAAATTTTCTTATTTACTCTTTACTATTAAATGTTGGAGACAAAAAAAATACTATTAAAATATATATATTCAATAAGAATAAAATTAAAAAGTTATTCAATTTATATTCATAGTTAATGTGTTTTAAAATTTTAGTTATAGTAAAACATATTAAAAATGACATATAAATAAGAACTAATGAGTATTAAGTTAAAAAAATTGAATTTTTAATTAAAAAAGTTGAAAAATGGGCGTTTTTGGGTGGCAGGAAAAAAAATCACTAATTCAAACTTTCAAGATTTTTTTTATCAATATATGTATATATGTATTGTAGAACCCTGGGTTCATAGATGCGAATTTTTATCCATTCAAGAAAAAGAAGAAGAAGCGAATTTTTTTAAATTTTATGATATATTCTTTTATAGATTTTATATTTTAAATATAGAACATTTAAGTATTTTCTCTTTAGTTAAAATTTATTATGTTTAATAAGCTCTACTTAATCAATTTACATAAACTTATTGTCTCATACATAGTATTGTTAATATTTTTCTTATTTATTTATTATTTACTTGATAGAATAATTATTTTTGATAGAGCAATTGATAGTTGTTGCTATATTGTGTCATATGTAACTCATACTAAGGCCCACGCATGTATACCATTATTAAAAAATAAACTGTAAATTACTCACATATACTTGATGTTTGAATTCTTAAATGAAATTTAACGACAAATGTTTTTGTCAGCCATTTAATGACCGATGTAATATTTTAAGCAAGGGTCAAAACATAAAAGTAATTTACGTGGGTTTCTAATTTTGCCGTAAAAGGGCAATATGGTGAAATTATGCCAGGAGGAGGTAGAGATGTGATAAGGGTCAGTCTGAGTTTTTAAGGATTTAAGCCATGCGGCTGTATATTCTAAATTGACTGTGTTTCTTAGACCTAATGTTTGTCAACAAGACTCAAGATCGAACCTGAAAGTTCATATAATATTTTTTATTATTTTTTATTTAAATTTCTAATCATGTTATACAAAATTTAACAAATTATTTTATCCTTTTCATACATTAATTCAAAATTAAAATAAACGGAACAATTTTAATCGTGCTTTTTTATAATATAAATAATTTTTAACAATTTCAACCAAACGAAGCTAAAGAAATGAATTGACAAACAGTGATAGCTAACATTAACATGGTGTTGTAAAAAAAAATATTATATTAGCTCAAGGGTTAATCTAAGCCTTTTTTTTAGCGTGCTTATAAGAGTTGGGTTTAAAATTATGGTACTAAAAAATTAGATCAATTATCAAACCAATCAAAAAATTAATTTAATTATTAATCACCAAAATTATAACCACGTCATGATTAAATTAATTATAAATAAAATATTTTATCAAACCGATGAATAAACTTATTTAAATTTCTTCATTTTCCCAAGTCCAACACTAAGAAAAATGCAAAATCTAAACGAGTAACACGATTGACTGGTCAGTATTAAGCCATATTTGGAGAGGTGTCATTGATATATTATTGGGTTCATTTAATAGAAAGGGTTAGGTGCCCCCAATTACACCAGATAGTACCATCCAACCATTTTTCACTACCTCCTTTATTTTTTTTTGTCCCGGTATAAAAGCCTTGTATTTTATATTTTATAATCCAAAATGAGACGCATGTAGTATATTTCAAAAACATGTCCAAATACATTAGTTTTCATTCAAGTACGGCAACTAAACTTATGAATATTTTAAAAAGACTCAACATTTGTTGGGTAATGAAATTTATTATGAGAGATTGGATGTTATCTTTGACCATGTCTCTAGTAAAGCAAATAAATATATAAATTAGACAATCATTAAGCTTCTGTCAATAATTTAAATGTTTAGATTTTTTATAACTTACCTTCTGGTTATATACTTTTTTTGTACGTTAATATAATTTAAGTTTCTTGTCTACACGGGTTAATTTCGTGGCTCTGTATTCAAATAAAAAAAATTGCTGAATATGTGTACTAAATGTTCTGAGTTAAAAAAAAAAAAAAAATTGGCTTGTCATTGTATATTCGTCCCCATGAGCTCCAAAGTGCAAGTCTCCAAGCCCTCTTTTCACAAATTCAACTTTGGCTTGCTTTTCACACAAGGGAAATTAGATTGGAACAGGTGCAAGCACTTAAATGATAAACCAAAACGCTCTGGTTCCAACACGGCTTGTTGGGAATTGTTTTTATTTTATTATTTTAAGAATTAGTATTTTATAAAATATATTTTGAGCATAAAAAAATTATAAAAACAAGTATTTTTTTATTTTCTTTTATTTTTTAAAATAATAATTTCAGAACACTTAAATATTTCTTTTATTCTCTAAAATAATTTTTTTTTCAAAAATACTTTAAAAAATATATTATTAAATAAATTTTTTTACTTTTATTTTTTCTTTTGAAGAATAAAAAACTATAACTAAAATGGTTGCAAACAGGACTTTAACCTCGCATGCTTAATTTTTTATTTAATTTTCTATTTACATGTATTAATCTACGACGCATTCAAGGCTCCTCCCTCGTCACAAAGAAACATTTAATGGCCCTCTTCTGGTCACGAGAGCATGGTAATCACAGTCACAATCACATACGGCTATTTATTAACAAATTCAATTCAAATTCATGTATCTTCATTTCTCTGTGGCCTTTTTAATTATTTCGTGAAATTACTGCAGAAAGTTTTCCACTGAACAGGAAACGATACAAGGCGTAACATTCTCAATGAAACAGAAACAGAGGTGTTGGATTTGAAATCCCAGAATTCATATACCTCTTTTGCCTGATCCACTACTTTAACCATTCATCTAGACTGAATATTTTAGAACCGGGGACCCAAAAAATGGTTCAAATGTTTTACAGAAAAACTAACTACAACTCGCCGGAAGCAGGGGATGAATGAACAACCTTGCCCTGTCTTCCGGTGAGCCAAAGCAGAGTTCTTCTTGCAAAAGAAGGAGCTCTAATCGCCTGCGAATCTACACTGTAACAGCTCTGGTTTTCATCATCATATCCAAATTCACTCCCTCCTCCTCCATTTTCCCATTTTGTGATATCCATCTCAGAAATCGTGCTTCTCGATTCTAATTTCCCATTCTTCTCCTTCAAAGCGTCGTCGTCGTCGTCGTTTCTCTGCAACGGAAACCGGAACGACATGGCCCTCCTCGACGAATCCTCAATCCCATTCCTCTTCCGTTTCTTCTCCCGGAGCCAAATCTTCGACACCGAGAAGCTCTCTTTTCTGGTAATAGCCCCGGATCTTGGATTCGCAGTTTCTTCAACTCTGTTCCCATCTAAACTAGAGAATCTGAAATCCCTTCTGGATTCTAAGTCACACTCTGACATTGCAAGTCTGTGACCTGGAGTGAAACGCAAAACATGCCTCTTCTTGATTCGTGCTCTAATGGGTACCTGAAGCGAACAACTCTCGTCCATCACATAAGCAAACGACCCCATAGAGAAACACCTTCTTGCATCTGCGTTATTGTCCGTGCTACTACCTTCACCATTGTTATCATCGACGTTCCTGATCTTTCCCAGCTTCACGGTGACCACTTCACCCGAATCGTGATTCGAGTCCAAGCGGGTCGACCTGGATCCGATTTCGTCGGTTTCTGGGGCAATCTCTCTGGAGGAGTTGTCACTCCCAGATTCAAGGACCAGAACAATGGGGGAACATGTGTTGCCAGAGGAGAAGTCATTGAGCAAGCAGGCTCGACAGATAGGGCAGGTCGAGTGAGACAAGAGCCACGTGTCGATACACTCCATATGGAACGCGTGGCTGCATTTGGGCAACAATCGGAGCTTGTCCTCCGGCTCGAATTCGGACAAACAAATGGCGCAATCGAAAGGGTTCTTGAGTCCGATGATGGCCTTGTAGAGGAAGACAGGGAGGGTGTCAATGAAGGATTGGTCGACCCCGGAATCGTGGAGGTGGAACAGTTGCTGAAGCTGTCCCTGAAGAACAGTAACGTCGTCCGGATCGTCCGGGTCTCTGGTCTGGGGCCTCCATAGATACCGAACAAGAAGGTGGAGCAAACCAGAGAGGAAGAAGACGATGGCGAGGATGATGATGATGAGGAGTACACTGGGGCTGACGCTGTCTTTTACGTTGGAATCTTCAGATCCAACAACGTTGGGAGGCGCAAGCAATATGGTGGGGGTTGTGAGGGAGACAAAAAGTTGGCTCCTTTCACTCCTAACAAGGTTCTGCTTCTGCCCATTTTACTGTGCCGGAGCAGATATCAGCAAAGATTGAAGCTTTCGAGTTGAATCATAGCCTTGAGACGACAGAGAGACAAACGGCGGAGAGAGGGAGAGGAAGGAGAAAGAGGATTCGTATAAAGCAGACGTTTGTTTTTTTATGTGAACTGAGCCTGCGAGTCAAGGATGTGAGAGAGGGACAGAGGGGGAGAGAAACTATTATTTCGGTGAGCTTCCTAATAAAGTGTTGAGAAAGATATTAACATTATTGCCTTAAACATGAGAAAATTATACCAAAAAAACGCATAATTTATAGTAAAAAATTCAAAATTTTAATTCATACTAGATACACAAAAAATTAGATATAAAAAATAAATGGGAAACAATTTTTCATCTTCATTTAAAAATTTAAAAGCATATAAATTTTATTAACACACGTTTTTATCATATAGTAAATTTTTTAATCTGTAATTTTGTCAAAAAATTACGGGACGTTGGGTGGTTGACTTTTAACAAAGAAACGCTGGCATTGCATTGCATCAACCCCGAGGCCGAGTGAATACATTCAATTTCAGAAAATGAATTATTTAATGGGTGTCAGGAGACATATTATATTGAAAAATGAAGAGAATTAATTAAGACATTAACAAATTTGATTTCGTTTACTAAAAACGAGCATCCTTTCCCGAAAAAAAAAAAAGGTGAAAATGTGAAAAGGAGAAGCAGAGGATAAGTTAACCAGTTTTCATGATTCGGGGTCATTCTATTCCGTATCCATTTGGCAATTCAAAAGCAATGGTCCCTGAGCGTCAGAATTGAATAGGACTGGAGTCTACAAAGAAAGATGCAACTCGCAAAAAGTTCTGGCCTTCAGATGATACCCTAAAACAACCCAATAATTTGAAGTAACTTGAATTTTTCATATTTATATATTTACAGAAAAAAAAATTGAAGATATAACTGTACGCTAAACAAATTTTAGATCAACCCCTGAACTTAATGAAGTTTGACAATAATTTTTCATATTTAATCACACTTGTTGAAAATAGAGAGATTTTTCTAAATTTAGCTCTGTTATTTTTTAGACTTGTTTAAATTAATTCATTGAATTGCCCGAATGACAGACTCTATTCTAAAGTTTAGAGTGACATGGATAAAAAATATAGACAAAGAGGAAAATCTCAAATATCTCAGGTAATGGGCTTGATATTGAGTAAAATTAAATGCTATTTTCTACTAATATAAGACAAAGTTAGATTAATTAATATTTTTTTATAATTTCACCTTTGTTTGTTTATTATTATTTGAATTCCTATATAATAGTTTTATATGAAGAATAAAAGGGAGTATAATGGATATGATGCATTCTAATTGCAGCCCCATCGAACTCTGCGATTCAAAAGTTATTTCAAACGGTACAAATTTAAGTTTCTAATTTATAATTTTAAATGATAATTTTTTAAAAAAAAATGTGATGGTTATAAATTTATTTTTATTTTAAGTTATGCATGTTAAAATTGAATGATTCAGATTTCAGATGAAACCCCTTCGATGAGCATGAAATATTGAAATGTGCTCCTTTGATACTTAATATAGTAGCATTTACATGAAACACTTTATTATAATCGTGGATCCTTCTCCTGTCACATTCGCTTTACACACACACACACACACACACACACACACACACACTCTTCCAAATACATCTTCCTCTTCCTAATGACAAATTCATCTATTATAATCTTACTTGATAATCAAACAACTACTAATTAATACCGGATTATGTGGCCTTCACTTTTTATTCCTCAAAATTTAGAGACAGTGACGTCTTTGTTTTACCAGTGAGTTTGACATTATAACAGAAGACCGTTGTCATTTATTGACCCCAATATTTATTTTCAGACTTTGTCTGAACCGATTTCATTTTAAACTATATAAATTTTAAAATTTATTTACACCTAAATAACTGCGTGACGAAATAAATTCACATTTTTATGAGAATATTTCAATACAAAATTTAAAATTAACTTGAGGCGTGCATTTGAAAATACAAAATAACATACTTTCAACAAACCTCAAACAATTAAACAAATTTGTATTATTTTCTATAGTAATTATCAATCCCCCACGTGGCTCCACCCCCCTTTAAATTTTTTTCTTCTTTATAATGTACTCTTTTATTTTTTAAAAAAAATGTGGTGGCTCTAACTTACTTAATCATTTTGACTGGGGTTTTAAATTGTTGATTTTCAAAGCTTAACAAACAAGTTGAAATTTGGACGACAGTATTCTGATCAGCAATCATTAAAAGTCAAAGATAAGGCTTTCCAGGGCAGACGGCAAATGACAATATAAAAATATAAACACACTTAAGGATTGAAAGTTTTTGGTTACCTAACCTTGAAAACCTTGCTACACTGTATTTCTCTTGCTAATTACCGGATTAACTAATCTCAAAGTTAATACCTTTATAATTACATATCTCCCTGCCAACGTTCTCAACATATATAAGATACATATCCACATTCTACAATCATTCAATATTTCGAAAAGGGGAAATTAAAGTAGTTTATTTTTTGTGGTTGTCCGGCTGACTGTGATTGATTTGTTGAATTTGCCGGCTTTTGGTTTGGTGCCTATGAGGTTTTCAGTAAATTATATCAACTACGTCCATGGGTTGTGTGTGTTTGAAACTGACCATATTTAAAAATTGTTTATTTATTCAAAAATTCTATTTCCTCACTTCAATCCATTTTCCAAAGCAATACTTCTTCATTTTTATATAACAGTGGACAAGTCTTTTTTTAAAAAAAAATTGATAAGTGAGAACACTTGTTATGACTATCTAGAAATATTAGATTGTGGATATCATATTAAAAAAAATGATCTGTATATTTAATTTTATAATATCATTGACAATTAATGTGATGCATGTATATATGTATATAAAAATTTTTAAAAATTGTAAAATTTGTTAATAAAAAAAACTTTAGTAATTGGTCTTCCCTCTTACAACTAGGATGCATTTTTAACAAACTCACACAGACCAATTAAGGAATTTTTTTGTTAGTTGATATCCCAAAAACATTATATTATTTCCAAATTTATCATTCTTTATATTCTTTAATTACAATTGATCCTTTTAATGCCAAATCCCAAGCGCTAATTTCTAGGGGCATTTTAGGAGAAACTATTATTTTTAAAACATTCCATAAAATACCTTATAAATTGAAACACAGAATATTCAAAATACACTTATAATAAAAAATGAGAGAAGTCATGATTCACAGTTGGGTGTTTGGGTTGGGGAGCAGTGTAATTAATTAAAAAAATGTAATTTGTATTATTGGTGACAGAATCACATTCACAAGACTTTACCACTGAAAAAGGAAATCAGAAGTCAAGATCCGAGGATGAAAGTCAAATGGATATAGGTGCAAAAAAAATGAGATCAAGTGTGGTGGAAAAATGAGGACGTTCACATGGCAAAATCAAAAGCGTTGAAACATCAAAAACAAAAGGAACACCTACCTGTATTTAAAAAAAAAATAGTTTGAATTAAGCTCAGAGATGAAAAAGTGAATAATCAAACACGGTTAATCAAATCAATCTTTGGTCATTATTTGAGATACACTTAACAACTTCTTTGTCTCATCTGTGTCGGCGGCTAATGTTGTTAGCTTGTTCTTGCCCATACCACACTTACCAAACCCAAGATGTCACCGAATTAAATAGCACCTGTGAGAGAAAATGACTAACTTAGAATAAACAATTAACATGCTCGAGGTCTAATGGAATGTGAAGGAATAATCAAATTAACTATCGACATGTAATACTACCGTATTAGCTTCAAAAAGGATGAATTGATGTTTGTTGTTTTTAATGCTTGAGAAACAAAACAGTGCCTGCTGGACTAGTTAAATCGGTGGGTTGATTTATTTTTTTTTTTAAGTGATGCGACTCTAACAGAGAGGACTTGACATCCTGATCTTTATATACGATATTTTTTGAAAGAATAATACATAAAAAAAAATTAATTATCTTTTCAATTCCATTTACATGTCAAGTTACAATGCTTACTTCTTAAATTTCTATATCTACAGTTAGCGTTTAGTATCTATTAGTAATTATATTTTTTTTATTGAGAACTTATATGTAGTTCTCCATGTTTTTTTTTATATCTTTTAAGACAATTAATCTTTCATTGAATTGTTAATTTTTATCACATGTCAAGGGAGATAAAATGGTTGTGTTAACTTGTTGGTCCCTTAGAAACGTCAATGGGATGCAAAACCTACTTTTTGGGACATCCCTTCTTACAAGTTACAATGCGTAGATGCATTTCTCATATAATACTGTCATAAGTTGCATAAGTATTTTCTTTCAATCCTATCACTCGGTGTCTTGAAAAATTTAAAGATATTATCACCTTCCATCTAAATTAATCCAAACCCTCATCATGCAGGATCATTATTACAAATGATAACTTCATGTGTACTTTGTAGATGCATTTGACATATCTGTTTAATGTAACTGCATATTACAAAACTCAAATTTAAAATTTCATGATAAGTTGACTCAACTTTCTCAATCAATTAAATTAAGTGTCCCCTATATTAAGTTGTAAAAGTTAAAAATTTATCACAATAATTATTTTATGATTTATTAAAATGGATTAACTGGTGATCCCTAAAATATTAAAGCCCAACTATGTTATAACGCCATATAATTAATAGGCATAACAAGTGGTTTATTGAGTTTAGTTAGTGCCTTAGTGGCTAAAGTGTGGGCCATCAACCAGCTTACTGAAAACAAATGGCTAGTTTGCACCTTTTGCATTAAACAAAATATCTTGCCCTGTTTTAAATGGGAGAATTAAAAAGAAAAAGAAAGGGACAATTATATTAAAATTTTATATAAAAAAATTAATTACTATAAATTCTTTTGACAGCTGAATTAAATATTACTAACAACATAATTAATTATTAATCAACTTTACAATAATTAATTTTTTTTAATTTAAGACTTGGTTGTAATTCCCTCAAAAAAAAAAAAACACATCGGGGATAATCCAAGCACATTACGAAGCCCATCGTGGTGGCAGGATTAGGAGCCTTTCGTTGTCCACACACGTCAAAACATAGTAGTCTTTCTATATTGGGCCAACAAAACAGATTAAACCTGTAAACAATCGCCCTTAATGAAATATGCTTGTTTTTGAAATTTGTTGTCAGTATAATTTCATATGTTCCATCTGCCATGTTTATAATATACGAGTTCTTTTACTAAATCTAATAAAATTATATATAACTCATTTAAGCTCAATATTTAGCTTTGTTTATTTCCCTAGGAACCAGAAAGCACGATACATTTTTTTCCGATGACCCAATAAATCCCTCAATCAGCAGTTACTTGGACAAAGAAACTTGCAATCAATTTCCATAATAAAGCACCAGATGAGGAGATTTTCCCCTCATTCACCCAAAAAAAAAAAGAGTAGCAGGTGTGTGATTTAATTATGAGGATCTCAAAATTAAAAAAGCATTTTACCCAAAAAAAAAAAAAAGCAAATTACTCCGCATGTAGTAAAACTTTTTATGATTTTTAAGGTAGAGCCTGTAAGTAATACGAGCCAACTTGTGAGCATGTTGGCTCGCCACAGGGTCGTAGGTCATGTGGTTATATAAATAAAATGATTTTTTTTAAAAATAATTATTCAAATAACAATAAAACTCATTTTAAAGTATCAAAAAACACACAAAAAGTTTATAAATAAAAAGTGAATTCACCAGCGCTTCAAGACATAAGTGGCCGACTTGAAACATGCACAATAGATATAACTTTCCAAAGTAAATTATCAAGACTATCACAGGTACAAGATTTTACAATGCATCAGGTGACAACTATCGCGGTTTAAAGTTATATAATTACTTGCCATGGGTAGATGAAAGCACAAGCAATCAAACCTGTTAATTTAAAAAAACGGAATATATGGATTCGTTCTAGGGTAAGAATAATAAAACTTCAGTCAAGAAGCCTGCTTGTTGATAATTTAGCATTTGAAATTTACCAACCTGGATTTAAAAAGAAAAAAAAATTAAGCAAACTAACCTTGCCAATTCTTAAGTTAGCTCACCATAAACCCAAATTAAGTAGTGCAAGCCAAAACCGACCCGCATCTAAAGTGAGCCTTGCTTTTATCAATTAAACCTGCCATTTTTTTTGGTAGGTTGGTTTAACTCATATTATTAACTCTAGTTTAAAGAATAAAAATATATGATATCTATATAATATTAAGAAAACATATTTAGTGTCTAGGATTAGGATTGCTTCTAATTAAATGAGACATGTATCTAATAAAAAATAATGCAATAAAAAAATTATTATAGTTTATTTAAAATAATAACAAATCAATAGCTATTGAGTTAAATAAAAGTAACTTATTTTTTTAAAATAAAATGCTAAAATATATATTTAGTCCTTTAACTTTATATATATTTTATTTTAATTCTTTAATTTTATAAAATTTTTTAGCCATTTTAATTATAACACTGTTAATTTTATTTCAATAAATTTTTACATTAAACTTTCAATTATTGACAAAATATTATTAAATGTTGACAAATTAAGTTTAATTTTTTTAAATAATAATGATTAACACAAAAAATAATCATATAAAACTAACAATATTAGGGTTAAAGAATTAAAAAGATACTTTATAAAATTAAAGAATTAAATTAAAATTTTATATAAAATTAGATGATTAAAATATACTTTAACTAAAATAAAATTAAATATTTGGAAGCCTGTAAATTGAAACAAAAATATTATATATATAGTTTTCTTGACCTGAAAATATTATATATATAATTACTTATAAGGTAAGTTGAATAATGCGTGAATATATCTATTTTTTTTAACACACACACAGAGCGCCCGTGTGTGTAAATTGAATTAAACATGAAAGATTAAATTAAAATTTTATATAAAATTAAATGATTAAAAATATACTTTAATAAAAATAAAATTAAATATTTGAAAGCCTGTAAATTGAAACAAAAATATTATATATATAGCTTTCTTGGCCTGAAAATATTACATAGATAATTGCTTACAAGGTAAGTTGAGTGATGCGTGACAGTATCTATTTTTTTTTTTTTTTAACACGCGCGCGCGCGCGCGATGGAGCAGGATCCAGTTAGCCCCAGTTCACGACACAATGCCGCACACTGACACTGAAGTAAACGCTCAATCATTGAATGTAAGTTGACTTTTTTTTGTTTTTGTTATTTACATTCGGTCCATGCCAAATGGATTTAGCCTATAGTACAATAATGCCAACATGACAGTTTTAACCTAAGATATTTTTTGCCAGAATTTCAACCCAAGTTATCCATACCACCCACATTAATTGCAATGATCAGTGCCATGTATTTATGCAATTGATCATACTTTTTTTTATAGTTGGAAAAATATATTTACAAGTCACTATAGTTTTCTCAATTTTAAATTAAGCCAATATAGTTAATTTTATTTTAATTAAGATCTTACAGTTGATCAATAAATTTTTTTAATCCATGATGGTTAAATTATTAAAATTTTCTTTTAAAAAATTAATAAATTTTATATTTTTATTAACTGATTATATTAATTTAGAATTAATTACATATTTTTTATAATTCAAAATTTATATAATTAATTTATCTGCTAAATGTATTTTATACATATAAAAAAATTTCATAGAAAATTTAAAATATAAACAGCATATTAAATCAATTTTTTTATTAAATTAATCTTTTTTATATCCCAGTTGTATTTTTGTTTTGTGAAATTAATAATTCATCATTAATTTTAATCTTTGAGGATTAAAAAAAATTAATCAATCAAACTATAAGAGCTCAATTAAAATTAAATAACTTGTAGAAACCTACCAAAAATTGAGTCAAACTATAAGGATTTACAGATATATTTTTTCTTATATTTATACTATGTGTGTGTGTAATCAACTTTCAATTCAAAACGGAGATGGATACACAAACTTAATTTAAAATAGTTGTGTGTTTAATACAAAAACTAGGTAAAATGTAATAAATATAAATTAAACATATTACAAATGAGTTACCCTAAAATCAAGAGAAGTCAGTATACAAGATTAATTTAGGTCAACACGGAAATAATAACAAAATTTTTATGCATGTGCAGATGACGAAAGAATTTTATTGTTGTCATAACGAAATTGTGTCAGAATAATCCGCTGGCAGATAGCATGGAGTATAAAATAATCTTTCTAAGTTTCCATAAACCTGATAAAATTCGGTGTACCATGAAGACTGGCGTATTTATCTAATACTATTTTGTTGGGGCTCCATTAAGTGACAGCAATTATTCACATGAAAAAACAAGTCGCGCGCAATTTTTTAACAATATAAAACAGGAATTATTTTTCATCCAGAAAAAAAAGGAGATATCAAAGAAGTTATAGGACTATTATACACACAAATAGTCGGTTGTATAAATTCAATTAATTCCAAGAATAAACTAGTAAATAAACAAAGAGAAAAGATTCAAAGTGGGAGGGCACAAATATGAAATGGTAAGGTTAGACAACGCATTACAACACAAGAAAAGTCATGATTGATGAACAAACATGTCGGCCTAAATCCATCGTGCTTCTCTTCCACTTTGCTCATCAGGACAGCCTTTTCCTTCTTGTTTCTTCAAGTTTTCATCTTGGCATCACATACATACATGCATATATAATCATTGATTCATTTCTCTTCATTTTTAACACAAGTAGGAATAGTAACTGGGGTTTAAACCGTCATGATTTAATACAAGAAAATAAGTAGATGAGTATTAAATATAATTCATGATTTGGTGTCAAGAATCAAGATGATTTCCAACAAAAAGAAAAAAGAAAACCTTTTTCCTTGAAATTGAAATACACTTTTGAAATGATTAACCAAATCAAGATTAGTTAAAGAATGAATAGAAGATGAGCTAGCCGGGAAGGTGGCAACAGTGGGGTCTGCAAATTTTGGTGCGAAAAGGAAGGGGGCGGAGAAAGAAATGGAACTAAACAACTACTGAGTTGACTCTCGAATAATTACCAATCAATCATGCTCTCACGCATCATCATCAGACCTTGCTTTCTCCAATTGCGCCTCTCATCTGTCCCCTCTTTTTGGCAAAATTCCACTTTTAACCAAAATTGAAAAAACCAATTAAAAATTATATCTTTCTTTCGCTTTCTTCTCTCTCGTTATCGCTGTAAATAAGTTTCTTTCTGTGGGGGCTCATGGAGGTTTGATCAATATCCCCCCAGAAACAAGACTTCTCATCCTTCATCAACAACATTGCACATTCCTACCTGAAGGAAACACTTTCCAGGTGCTGTAGGGGGCGTATTGATTCTTTCTGGGATAATACCTATTCGGGGTTTCTCATTCCTCCTCCAAGGAATATTTGGAACTAGCTGCTCGATTCATCACATTCTAAGGGTTTCTCTTGGCAGATCCGGGATACAACAAAAATTCATCGGAAGGTACATCGGTTTTATTTTCATTTTGTTTTATTTCTGAGCGTGTTTAGTGGGTTTCTCGAAGTTCACGAGGGAATCAACTAACCTCTACGAAAAAATTGATTTAATATTTAAACGGGTAGTTTAACACTCTGGTTCTTAACTGCTTCCTCTGGCTTAAATGTTCGTATGGGCAAAACTACAGAGACTGATCGGCTTTGACCGTTACAACCATTTCGTTTGGGGCTCTCAGAAACCTCGTTGGAGTTGTTGGTAGTTTGGTAACAAGGAAGAATCTCTGCGCAGACATGTCGATTTCAGTTGAGTGATTTCGGATTGATTGAGGTTTGACCTACCTTTTTGAGGATATCTAATCGTTCTGACGTGAAGCATAGGACCCGTTATGAATCTGATTCTTAAACGGGGCTGATTTGCTTAAGAGGGAGCCATGAGGTTTCTAAGCCTTGTGGGGAATTCTTTCGGCTGTTCAGCCTCTGGGGAGAGATTGGTTTCTGCAGCAAGAGATGGCGACATTCAAGAGGCCAAAGCCTTATTGGAATATAATCCTCGTCTTGCGAGGTATTCCACTTTCGGAGTTCGCAATTCCCCTCTGCATTACTCTGCAGCTCATGGCCACCACGAGGTATTTGCAATTCTCAGATGCACTTGATCTCATTTCTCCCATCAAGATCGAAAATTGTTATTGTTCTTGATTGTATCTTGAATGCTGCGTAGATAGTGTATCTCTTGTTGGAATCTGGTTTGATATAAATCTCAGGAACTATCGGGGTCAGGTGAAGTCATGTTCTTTTTCTCGAATGGTTTCTTCTTTTACATTTAAAGCATCGTGTTTTGGCATGAATGTTATGATTGTTCATATGAACAGACTGCCTTGATGCAAGCTTGTCAGCATGGTCACTGGGAGGTGGTACAGATCCTGATTCTGTTTAACGCCAATGTAAATCTGATACTCCTGGACAATTTACTTTTCTTAATAGTGCCAGCTAAAGTTTTTTTTCTTTTTCTTTTTTCGATGAAATGAGGGGTGAAAAGCTGCTTGTGAAATGGGATTGCAGATTCATAAAGCGGATTATCTTAATGGAGGTACGGCACTGCACTTGGCTGCTTTAAATGGCCATTCCAGGTGTATCCGTCTTCTCCTTGCAGACTACATACCCAGCATCCCTGACTTTTGGGGTAAACTACAGAGGGGCGATCATAAATCGATCCCAGACTTTGATGAAAGGTACTTTCAATTTTGTTCCTGAAATCCTCTTGGGATCATAGATCATATGTTAAGCTGTTAGATTGAGTTCATTTTGTTTCCATTTGTTGGATCCAAGTGGTCTTCACGAGGCAATTAACAGAACTTCTGATGGAGGGATCACTGCTCTGCATATGGCAGCATTGAATGGCCATGTTGAAAGTGTGCAATTACTCTTAGACTTGGGAGCTTCTGTGTCTGAGGTTACTGTAGAGGACGGGACTACAATTGATCTAATTGGTAATTTTTGGGCATTCTCTGGTTTTTGTGATCCCCCACCCCCCAAGAGGAATGTGATATTTTGACATCAAACATTTACTCCGGAGATCAAATTCTTTTCAAATCCAAATGAGTGGTTCATATCATATGAACATGATAAAAGCAAACATGTGTCATAGTAAACAAACAGAATATAATTTTGCGTATTAAAGAAATATTTTGAAGTTAACAAGACAAAGTATCCCTATGTCAGCATCTTGTAATAAATCTCTTAAATTTAATCTGCATAGAGAGATATTGCAGTTAAATATTCCTTCTTATATAAGAACAAAATCATTGATGAAATTTGGGAATCCATTCTTAACACTTAAATTTAGCCCCTTGTGCTGAGAAAATATGGCTCACAATATTGAAGTATAAATTAAGATCATAAAGTTAACCAGAATGGAATGATTTTATCACTTTGCTTCTACGAACTGTGTCTATTCTTACTTGCAGGTGCCGGTAGCACTCCCCTCCATTATGCTGCGTGTGGTGGGAATGCACAATGCTGTCAAGTATTTTTCTAATGATTTTTCTTCCTAATGAACTTGCAAGAAAAAAAGAAAAAAATGTCTATAATTAAAGGATAAACTTCTTTTCCATTCTTTTTTTTACCCTGGTTTTGTAATTTTTGTTTGCTTCAGCTTTTGATTCTCAAAGGTGCCAGTCTAACTGCTGAAAATGCAAAGGGTATGTATTCAAATGTCTCAGCTAGTTTTGTACGTGTGATTATATCATATATACTGTCTATCAGGGTAAAGATTTGAATATTGTAGTCCCTGTAGTTAATAAGAAATTGAATAATCTGCCCAGGAGCAAAAACCATATCACTAAGCGTTTCAGCAGAAGCTTAAGCTGTCTTGAAGTTCTGAAATTGGATTGATTCATGTTGCCATGCTTTCACGTATTGTTGATGGGATGGGATTGTAGTCCCTGTAGTTAATAAGAAATTGAATAATCTGCCCAAGGAGCAAAACAATCACTAAGCGTTTCAGCAGAAGCTTAAGCTGAATATATTCTTGAAGTTCTGAATTTTGGATGATTCATGTTGCCATGCTTGCACGTATTGTTGATGGGATGGGATGTTGTTCTTTGAGAATTAATCATTAGGAGGCGCTTGCCTGGTAGGTTTAGCTTGAAAATCACTTGGCCTAGAATTTAGAGGACAATCATCATCATTGCCCAGGATTGAGTGATACTATCAATGTGATTTGGGTCTAACCGATCAAGAGTTGGCATATTTATTGTCAGCTGAGATATTAATCGATACTAATCGCTTCTTCAACATGTTCCTTTTTATCTATGTTCTCAATCAAAAAAAAAAACCGCTCTACTCAACTTTTACATTTGTGCATATAATGTTCTGTTGTTGCATCTTGATGAGGAAACCTGCAATCTATACTGTTGTTTCAGGCACTTGTTTATCTGAGTTTTAAATTTGCTAGCTCACTCCTGACATGTTCTTTGGTTTGAAGATGGACCCCCTTGATGGTTGCTCGTTCATGGCATAGAAATTGGCTCGAGAACATGTTGACCAATGGACCAGAAGAAGACTTGCAAGTTCTTCCTTCGCCATATTTATCTCTTCCACTTATGAGCATTGTGAAAATTGCTAGGTATGCCTAGTCATTTACCATTTCAACAAATTTTTCCCCTCTGTTTATACATGATTCTTTTAATGGATTTAGACTGAGAATGAGACACGAGAATGCTCATTTAGACAGTTCTTGATGGAATTTTCCAATTTGGGATCCTTAGAGGCAAATACCATTGCTCGCATGTAAGCCATGAGAATTTTGTCTCATTTCTTTTGGTTATGTAGTTAGGTTTCTAACTAAATAAATTAAGTCCTTTTTAGTGCTGCTATTTTCATGCCAAGTCACCAAGATTAGACTACACGTTAGATATGTAAAAATTCTTCCATTTGGACTATTAGTAACACAATTTGTTGAACTGAGTACTCTGCCAATTCATTTGTGCTAGCATCTTTCTCACTGACTAAGCGACAAGCTTTGTGAAATTAAGGTGTATAGTTAGCTTCATATTTTATTCACTTGATTCTATTAAGCAAGTTAACCAACCTTAAACATGGACTTTTTTGAAGGGTTGTTACTGAGACTAATTTCTATCATTACGATCCTTAACAGAGAATGTGGATGGAGGGTTGAAACAGCAGCACCATGTTCTGATCCATGTTCTGTTTGTTTGGAAAGGAAATGTATGGTAGCTGTAGAAGGTATATGTTTTTAAAATTTGACAAATTTGCATCTTTGAAGGAGAAAACTTCGAGTGGTCACATACATAAATGTTACACCTTTGACATGCAGGTTGTGACCATGAGTTCTGCACACAATGCGCCTTGTATCTTTGTTCAACAAACTCGGCTTCAACAACGAATCAAGGACCACCAGGCTCAATTGCGTGTCCACTTTGTCGGCATGGCATTGTGTCATATGTCAAGCTTCTAGACACAAGACCGTTGGTGAAGGATGTCTCGAGGATCACGAACTTGTCCCTAGCGTTCTGCACCTGTTCCAGCGAGATATTGGAGCCGGAGGAGGAGCCGACCAACATGAAAATCCCATTTTGCAAACCAACACACCGAGTTTCCCACTCTGCATCATTTCGCTCCCTAAGCTGCCAGAAGTTCCCTTCATTCAAACTCAACTCAAGCCTGTGCTTAGGAGCTGATGTTAGCTCCTCGGTGGTTCCTAACCGGAGTCTGAGGAGCCACTCACCTCGATGTTCCGGTTCTGGTTTTAGAAGAACATCTTCTGCCCAAGAGGGAAGAAAGTCATCATCTTGGTTTTGTTCACTGAATCAGTCTGTTGCCACTGGAGATGGATGCTGATTTCGTTTTGGGTCTCTCTTTTCCTTCATTTGTTCCACAAATTTTAGCAGTGCCCAGCCTAAGAGTCCTTTAAAGCCCCATTATGCAAAGTTCCAAACCTCTGTTGATAGTCCATATTGGCTTGTAAATACAATACCACCCATTTGTTCAGCAGAGAAAAAAGTGCTTCTTTTTTCGACAAAGTTCACTCACAAGTTGAGGATGAATTTACGTAGTGCGGAGAAGTTGTTCAGAGTGTGTTACATGTGCATGTGGTGTTTGCCATGTGAGAAACCTCCTGGTTAGATGCATCTTATATATATAATTCTCTCACAGCCATCTTCTGCAAATTTCTGTGGTGGTCTTCAAGACTATGTCAAAATTACAGCGCATATATTTTTTTTTTGGGGTTTGTTACCAACAATTTCTTCTAAATTATCACTAAAGCTTTTTGCTGTTTAGGATTAAAACACGCAAATGCCAAAGATGTGCATTCGCGGTACTCTGAAGAACTCTGTGTCAAGCTTAGCATATTGAAGTCTATCTGTAAATTTTTACCATGTTACAATCTCAAAGTGTTACTTTATCTGAAATTAAGATGTTTTCTTCGAAGATAACACACTTTCGTTCTCTGCATTTAACTTTACGTCACATGTACGCGTCTACTTACTGTTATTGTTTGTATTATGCTTGGCCTTTTCTAACAAGATTAATGTGCATGAAAGTTGGATCACACACACACACACACACACACCCCACTGGGTTGAAGATGAGAAATACAAAGAACACATGGATGAGAAGAGGAAAACTAGATCAAACTACTGTATATGCATATCTAATAATCAGAAAACCGCTTACATGGATGCCATTTCGTATGACCAGATTAAAGCCGAAAGCTCAGGAGGAATAGCAGAGAAGTATTAAGTTGGGAGTGACTGACAGGACGAAAATAAACTATCAAGAAAGAAATGGAATACCAAGCTATGGCACCAAACTTGCAAGAGCTTACAAGTCTTGCAAGGTCAAGAAAAGAAAAATTTTATTTGAAAAAAATAAATTCATACAGTTAAAGCTCAATTGGGATATCGCCACCACAAGCCCCGCCACCATCTTCTGCTTCTTCAGTCTACGTTTGTTGAAGTAGATACTGCCAATGTCACCGGTGCTGCCATGGGAGAGACAAAGGATGATTGAAAGTGCGAAAAGCATGTGAAGGGACTCTAAAGACGAGATTTTGAAGAGTGAAGTGATATAAATGGGAAAGAAGGAATGGGGTTGATAATATGGTGAAATAAGAGAAGGTCCGGAATAAGAAACCCAAGAGAGTGCAAAAGCATTCCAAAAATGTTTCTAGTTTTGTGGACCCATAAGAGAGAACCTTTGAATTAATGAGTCTTTCGGTGTTGATGTGTCGCCTGTTCGTCCTCTGTCTCTTTCTCTGCTCCAGCGAGAGGTCATGTTTGGTTTTCATGAAAGAAAGAAAAAATGGGAAGTGATGTGAGAGAAGAAAGCATAAAGTACGCATAAGCATTAAGCAATGTGACTTGACCATCTCTGTCTGCGCTTAGCTTCTGTCTTCACATCTTTTACCCCCTCAGTCACGTAAGTAAATTATTGAAAAAGAACACGTACAATAAGAAAACACAACATATATATTTGTATGCGTGGGAACTTCGAGTCGAGTTTCCAGGAAAGCCAATAGGGTTGAGAGTTGAAACAGTAAGGGGCATGGCCGTAATCAATTCTTACAAGAGAATGGTAAAATACGTACTGCCAAATTGATAAAGCGGAAGAGAAAATAAATGAAAGGTTATTAATCTCTTCTCTTCTCGCCATAACCTCACAGGTCCTCGTGGGATTCTGTTATTATTATTAAAAAAAATTAATCTTTTAATTTATCAACTTTTAACTTATTTGTAATTCAGTTTCTCAGCTATAACTCATTGTGACTCAATTTCCTCAACTATAACTCGCTGCAACTCAGTCTCTTAATCTTTTGATTCACTTATAATTCGGTCCTTATTTTTTAATTTTTTTAAAAAATTTCTTATTAAATAAGAGGGATAAAAAAATATCATGTATTAATTCTAAAATACCCTCCTCTTGCTCATTGATGTGATATATAAGCTAATATGAAAAAAATAATAAAAGTTCAGGGATTAATTTGTAAGTGATTTAAAAATTGAGGGATTTAGTAATAAGTGAGTTATAGTTGAAGAACTAAATTATTAGTGAATTAAAAGTTGAGGACTAAAAGATTAATTTTTTATTATTATTATAGATCCTCTTATACACTCACATGGTTGCTGACTCGAACAAGGAACCGAACTTAAATGCAATAGGGGGATAATACTCTGCCTTGGTATATTATTAAGGCCTTTGCCATAACAAGAAGCTAGAAAACTGATAAACAGACCGAGGATCACGCAATACTACAGAAAGATGATCAAACGAAATGAGTGGAATGAATAGAAGGAAGAATTTTTGGAGGAGAGAGGACTATAAGGAGGAGGGTGTTATTAATTCCACATTAAATAGCCTTATAAATAATGCAGGATTTATAAATTTAAAGTGCTCTTTCACTTGTTGATCATTTCAGATGAATTCTTCTTTTAAGGGTGTTCATGATGTTAATATTTTTATTGAAAGATTAATGTCTTGAAAAAAATACCAAAGTGTAGTGGATAGAGTTTTCCAAATAAGGTAAAATTTATACGTTAAAAGTACTTATTCTATTCATGTTATAAAAATTAGGTGAAGTAAATAATTAGTAAATTATTAGATCTATGTCTTGACATGTTTAACAAAATGATTTGTTTATAAATAATTTGATCATAATTTAATTATAATTTTAACAATTAACCCTTAAATTAATATCTTGTCCGGTCTTGCTCTCACCTAAATGATGGTTTTTGAAATGATTCTGCCAGCCTCGGTACTTATACTAATAGAGGTGAGAGAGGGTTATGGAATATTGTTAATGTAAAAAAGAAGAATGGGAAGCGAGTGATGGGACAAGACATGGGAATCCAGCAGGGAGGTAAAGTGAGGGGCAGAGTCATATCTCTTTCGACCATTGAACTACGTAAGACAAACATAAGATCATGCAGCCCCAACAGTGCCATGCTGATGCTGTCCTGTGCCGCTGCTTCAATCTTCATGCTCTCTCATTCTTTAATTCTTTCTTCCTCTTTCTGAAAGCCTACTGTCCACCACCTACCTCCCTCCTTCTTCCTCCTCTTTTCCATATTTTTCAAACACCAAAATGATTACAATGCCTGGGTCTATTCTACTTGCTCTCCATTCCTTCAAGTCTTTTAGCCTCTGTACAAGTCAAATTTTCCATATCTGTTCTGTTTATAAACGTCTCTTCTTCATGCAATAAATTTTTATCAAGTTTGATGAAATATATTTTTTGTATCTGAACTTTCTCTCCTGTCAATTTTGTGTTTTGGCTTGAAATATAACTTTATGCTCATGCTTCTTTAATTTGAAATAATTCAGTCATTATATAATTTTTTAACTCAAATTAATGCAATCCAAATAATTTCTTAACTCAATAAATTATAAGAATTGAGTCAAAATGAGTAAAAGTTTAAGGGCTGAATCAATAGTTAAAAAAAAAAAAAATTAGAGACTACAAGTTACATTTTTCTTTTCAAAATATCATTCCAAAATACCAAACAAACTTCATTCAAATAACTCCCCTCACTTTTTATTTTATAATTTGATTAAGGGAAATTTGAACAGCATGAAAGTTATTTATATTTAGCTAATTTTAACCAAATTTTTTAGTCTAAGCAAAGTAGTTAATAAAAGCCTTGTAATGAAAATCAGAGGGAGTAACAAAATCTGGCAAAAAAAAAGTTACTAAAAGGTCATCTTAATAGGCCTAATCAGAGACTTTTACATTCAGCCACATCAATTCAACAAGTATGTGGGTGATTTTTGTTCGGTAAAAGATCATTTTTATTATTGGAAAGGACTCTCCATAAAACAAATTTCTGGATAGCTTCAGAAATCAGATTCGAATCCGTGCACTTATGAATAAAGTGAGAGTTTCATTTCAAATTTTTAATTATTTTTGTATTCTCTTCCTAGCAAAAAGGAGAAAGTTGAATGCAAACTTTTTACACAGGAAGTTGCATGTAACAATACTAATACAGTATTAGCGAAAAAATATGTTGAAATTATGAAACTGAAATTTTATTTATACTACTTGGTAGGAGTGTTTAGCTTGGATCCGTCTCGATTAGCTTAATATTATCTCGATCATTTCAAGATGGGTTTTATCTCGACCCAAAAATAATTGGGACAGACTTTACTAGACGGGATAGGACATGAGATTATCATCAGGATAGGACGTCCCGAATATATATATATATATATATATTATTTTTTTATTTTAAGTATATTAATTATATTAATACAATTTATACTTATATTAATTATATCAATTATAATTTTAATATTTGCAATTCTTATTTAAAACTAAAATTTTTTTATATTGATAATTTTAATCACGTTGAGTAAACATGATGATACCTTTCTTTATAATATATTAATTATATTAATATAATTTATTTTTATATCTATATATTTAATAAATTTTATTTATAACGTACTTCTTACTTTATTTTTAGAAGAATAATTAACTAAGTACATCTCCATTAAAGTAGAAGAACAATAATTTGATATTGTGCCTAACTTGCCTGTTGTTACTGCTCTTATAACCTAAAGATCACTTGCATTTACTATTATAATGTATAGTTATGATTAATATAATTCAATAATTAACTTTAAATTATTGTGATTTATGTACTTGTGTTATTTTAATTTTAAACTTAATAAATTATATGATTTAAAATTTTAGTGAACATGATTGTCCAAGTCTTTCTCCTATATTATCCGATTTATCGATATGTCCTAATCTTGCCTAAGTCCCGCCCTAACTCCTAACGGGATGTGATGACTTTTGAGACGGGACGGGACATGGGACCAAATTTTAGTCACAATCTTTTTTTGGGACGAGACACGGGATGGGGGTGTCCCGGTCCCGTTCCGTCCCGTGAACACCCCTACTATCTGGCATCCCATGAGTTTGAAAATACGTTCGTCGCATTGTTATTATTCATGAATAAGCAATTTATTTGTATCTTTTATATTAATAAATAGCTAATGATTACAAATTAATATTGATTACTTCATTAAGCAGTCAAAATTCGAAGTTGATGGACACAACATAACATCTTGATTTTTTTTTAATAAAGGAGGACTCAGCCAAAGTGCTGAACAAATTATTAATATCTAAAGCCATAAGCTTAGCAACAGCTAAAGAAGCAGAATGAAATTTAAAAAGACTAGGCCATCCATTCAGAGCTTGTTTAGTGAGGTAATTTGAAACATAGTTTTTGTCTCTACACAAATATAGAACTAGTAATTTGGGCCAAGTCTGATGGATTAGCTCGAATCAGCCCATAAAAAGTTAAAGTCATGCTTACTATATAGGCTTTTTTAAGAATGTAAGATACTTTAAACCCGATACAAATAAGCTCAGTCTAAATTGAGCCCAATTGTTAGAATTTCCAGTTCTATATAGAGTTGGTAATTTTTGCCAAGTCCAAACTCGGCCGGAAAAAGTTACGATCGGCTTAGTTATGTAATTTTTTTTAAGAGGATAGGATGCTTCAAGCCTAACCTAAATTAAGCTCATCCCTTTCAAATTACCGGCTATAAGTAAATGCTGTACCAAGACTTCCCAATCACGTTTGAGCATCAATTGGATTTCCTTGATGACATGTCTATCATGATAAGTACAAGATCTTCACTAGTGATGCAGTTAATAACTTTAAGAGAATCTAACTCCAAAATTATTTGTCTATGGCTTGAGTCCCAAATGATTTTAAGTCCTATAAGAATTGCCCACAGCTTGATCATCAAACTATCAAGCATTCAAACTTGTATATGAAACCTTCCAATAACATCCTTGTGTGATCCTTAAACATACCTCCACATCCTCCTTACCGTAACAATTATAATTGGGTGTTGTCAACATTTAAAAGGACCCAAACCTCTAGTGGAGGTCTCCATCTTGAATGACTTTAAAGCTCTATTCTCCCCATGATATTGACTTTTGCCAACCTTGACTAAATAACCTTCATATTCGATTGCCTAACATTTACCTAAGCAAAGAGCGCTTCAATAAAGATATTCCTACCATAAAAAATACAATCGTTCCTTCCTTTCCATATAGCCCAATAGCTAATTGTGAACTTCACTACCCAACCCTACTCCTTTCTCTAGTTTGCATCCTTGAAATTCCATTTCAGCCATAGATCCTGGTCTAGCCTAAAGAAAGCAAACTGTTGTCTTGTATTTACTACTTTACACCAGTAACTAGCAGCAAGGGGACAATCACGGAGAACATGAAACATGCTTTTAAGCCTTATCTTTACACAAAGAACACATTCCATCTGTTTGCATGCCTCTTCTCTGTCTTGCCATACTGGTAAGAAGTCAATTTTGGAAGACAAGCCACATAAAAGATTTGCACTTCTATGGGACTTTCAATTCCTAAAGACTCTCCCATGCACAGTTTTTTATTGGAATCACTGTCTCAAATCTTGTTATAAGCATACTTTATTGAGAAGTTCCCATCCCTTTCCCACCACCAGCGTAAATCTTAGTCACCATTAACCAGTTTAGTTCCTTTTTTGACTTTGTCCTACGTTGATTTAATTCCATCTCAGGTGTTAGAACTTGGATGGTCCTTTTGATACGTGGAATCAAGTCAATTCCACACTTATATTTACCTCTAACAACTTTGACCCACAAAGACTCTCTTAGTCATAAGCTATTAATCCAGTTTCGTTAAAAAAAAACTTGATTTTGATATCTAGCCTGTGGTGACCCTAACCCCTTTTGTTGTTTATTCACGCAGGCATCGTGCCAAAAAACTAGGTGAACCTTTATCTTCTCATCCATCGTTTCCCAAAAAAAAAAAAAACTCTATTTTTCTTATCAAGAGTCTCGCAAGTATGAATGGGTAATAAGGCAATTTGCATAATATCTTCTTGAAATTTTATCCTAGTACTTTATTTGCATAAAAACTCTTTTTTTTTTCACGCAAATTAACTTAGAGGATTGGATTTTAATAATCAGCTTCGGCCGAATTATATTGGAGCGTTTTTACCTGAAATTTAGGTAATGTGGGATTTGGCCACAAAAAAAAAAAAAAAAAAACAAAAAGGTAATGCGGGAGAAGTTCATCAAAGTGATATATTATTGCTTTTTTTAAGTTTTTATCAATGCATGTAAAGGAGGATTATATGTTAAGAAATAATTAAATTTTCATAATTATTATAAATAACAATTGAATCCAAATATTTCTAGAGCCACTTCCACTCCCCACAAACACCCCCAGCTCACATTTTTTTTTTGGAAAATCGTGCAAGTTAAATTACTTTCCAAGTCCACCCATGCTGCTTAATTGATGTGCACAAAGGAATTTTATTTTCCTAAAATAGCTTTTGGAACAAAGAATAGTTGGCCAAAAAAAAAAACCCTTTAAATAAGATCTTAAGTTTTGGGTATTATGGATGAAAAATCAGGAATAATATTTCATCCTAATTTTATTATCGGATATTGGTCATGGTAGAAGAAGTTATAATTATTTGAGTTTCTAAGCCTAATGTTCTATATTTCAATTTGTGCAAATGTTAAAAAATATTTTTGAAGTACCTATTCTAAATTGAATCTGATAATTTTTCGATACAATCTAATCACATAGGTCTTGTTTCGTCATTTAAAAGGTGAGATGGAATTGATTAAAAATATAATACAAAAACCCTTTCTCTTTACATTAAATATAATAAAATTTATTGATTTATATATTATAAATGTAAGAATTATCACACTTTAAAAAATTTTATGAATTATGATTCTCAATCTCATGAATTAAATTACTTATCTATTTTATTAATATAGTTTGCTATTTCTTTTGATCATCTTTTTTTTTATTTTTTAATTCATTTTATTTTATTTTTTTTAATAACCAAACGGAACCATCATGGTACAAAAAAAGAATTCTATCCTAATTCTAGCCTAATGCAGTTCAAATCGGACTAATTAATAGAATAGTGTCATTTTAAACTCATCTAATGTAACTTAAAATTTGACCCCAAAAAAACTGTGCGAGCGTGGGAGTGAGGGAGAGAGATGACGTGGAAGATATTATTAAAGTAGAAAACAAGAAGTAGGAGAGTGGATTGGGGGAGAAAAGAATACTGAAGGAAGCAAGAAAGGTATCCAAACCAAAATGGCTCTTCTTTCTTCGCTTTCTTCGTCGCCATGTCCTCCCTCTCCTTTTCTCTTCAATCATTTTCTTCATTCTTCTTCTTGCTCCTCCATTTCCAGGCTTTGCTTCACTTCCTTCAATTCCATCTCTGCAATGCCTCCGTCTTCCCCTGATGTCTGTGCCAAACACTCCCTCAAAATTGATACCTCTTTGCTTACCCTCGTCGAGTCGTTCTATGAAGACGAGCTCCGGGCCGCTTCCTCCCTCCGTGTCCGTTCCTTCCACAACTTTTCCCCCGACACTTTCGGCCTTCAAGTCAGTCCTCTACTCCCATTTCATTTGTATTTACATTTTTCGTTTCCATACTCAGTTACTCAGAAGCTGTGAAAAATTGGGATTCAAATCCTAAATTTCCATCGGAGTTGGTTTTTGGGATAATCTTTAAAATTTCCCATTTTCTTTTTGGATGCTTGATTGGGGGACTTGTTCTTGGAACCTATTGGTGTAGTGACTCATCAATCTTTTTGAAACGGGGCGCATATTGATGATTGAATGTTGTTTTCAGTTTCTTTTTCTCTATCATTGAGGTTATAATTGCTTTCCCGATTTCATTTCATCCTCGTTAAGTTTTGTTAGGATCATATGAAGTACTTGGCTGACCGCGAATTTGAGGCACTCAAGGAACGTGTTTCGGGGACGAGAGCTGGCTTCAGAAGAGTCTCTTGTATAAATGCTTCCCTCCCGGAATCGCATGTATATAGCATTTCCAATGAATTATGCTCTGCGTGTAAGGTTTGTTTCTTTCGTCCATTCTTTTGATCTATCAATTGATCTTTTCCAAATAAATGTCCTGCAACCAACTTAAGCATATATCTAATGGCGAGTGTTATTTATTAACATATAGTACCTATGCATAGACGTCAACGTTGCATGGTGATTGGCTACACTCCCAATATATATTCAGTAGAACACTGACAAGGAAGTAAACAAGCTGCATAATGGGGAACAAGAGAATGAAAAATTAGTATTTAGTAATACTTGCATAAATGAACTGAGCAATAAAATAGTCTCATTCTTCTGAGCCCAGCAGATTCCTAATTTCAAGAGTTGCTAACCCCATTATTCTTTTACTCCCCAATCTTGGCGTGGTATGGAGAAAGTATGTCGTACCTTTGTTTCTTCGGTTCAAATATTAATTGTATCATAACTTTGGTTCGCCAACATAATGAAGTAGGGGTGGGGGTGTGCGTGTGTGTGTACCATTTCCCAATCTGCTGGGAAATCTCTAGTCTGGAGGCTGTTTATATACATTAGACGGTCATAGATGAAGTTCTGATATGCTTATAGTTGTGTTCCAACCTCCAACCTCAAGCGCATCGTTTTAGTATCATAGTGTATTTCTTTGTGGACTTAGCAATCATATATTATCTACATTTAATTTGCTTCTACTGTTTGCCTGACTAGATATTTATATTAGTCTTCAGTTTCTTGTGTCTTAACAAAATTATTTATATTTTAGTTAAATTTGTAGTTTTCTGCCTATGGTGAAGACAGAGTTGTAGTTGGTACACTAGATTTGAATCAGTGCCTCAGCCTGCCTGATGAAATTTCTGGAATAAAGCCAGAGGTACTTGTTTCTGAACATTGTTAATATGAACAACCACGCGCACACATGTAAATGAGCTCTCATTAGATTTTGGTCAGGAATTTATTGTAACTATTATGTGGTTACTAATTTGAATGATGCCGCATCCATTTGTCAGGTAATTGGATCTGATGTCACAAGGGCATACCTCAGTAATGTATGTGTTGCTAAAGAGTTGCAGAGGAATGGTTTGGGCTATGCTCTTCTTGAAAAGGCAAAGATGGTTGCTCATGATTGGGGTAATTTGTATGATAAACTGTATGCTTAATAGAATATTGCTTCTGTTAATATTTTCACTTCTGAAAGAAGAGTATTAAGTAATTACATGCACTTTTTCTTTTTCTTTTTTTAAAGAAAGTATCCAATTACCATTGTCATTTTTTGGAGCTTGGTGTTCTGTAACACTTATTCGTTCATTAAGGCACTGCGCAGTCAGATTTGAATAGATATCAGAGAGTCTTCTGTTCTAATCCAGTGAGGCAAACAGGATATCCTAGTGCCGATGGGAAAACTTCCTTTTTGTTTGAAATTCTTTGGTTCTACTCATTTCTTTCCTAATAAGCAAAGTCATGGACGTTCACATGTGGGAGGATAAGGAAATGATTGTAGTTCTTTTTGGCGCGTATGTCAAGCTTAGAGATTTTCTTTCTTTAAATAGCATTGGAATATTGTATACATGTGGTATCAAATTATTATTGTCGTTATTGTTGTTGCTTAGCTGATCTAATTCAATTATTTTCTTAGACCTACTAAGAAGCAGACTCAAGAACATGTAGTTCTGAAGTTGACACAGTGTTTCTCATGAGATGGATATGAATCAACATGAACTCTTACTAGTCGAATAGGGCACCTAATTCAGATTTAGGAGTTGTTTTATTTTTCTCAGGCATGACAGATCTGTATGTGCATGTTGCTGTGAACAACGAACCAGCTAGGAGATTGTATGTGAAGAGTGGGTTTGTGTATGAAAGTGATGAACCAGCATGGCAAGCCAGGTTCCTCGATCGACCCCGCAGACTACTCCTATGGACAGGTCTCTCAAGGGCCTAGTCTTACAGTACTCATTACTGTCAAATTGATTTACTGTCTATACTAGAAGCTCATTACTTTACTCACTTTATTCAGATTCCATTTTTTCCCCTTCCTTTTCATTCCAAATCCAAATGTAAATTTTTGTCATATCCTCAGTTGTAATTCTGGATGACCAAGGAGTATAATTCTTATGTGCTACTAGATTGAAATATTATAGTTGAAGAAATACTTGGATTTTGAGTCTGTTTGGATTATTGTTTTCTTTTTTTCCCCCATTGAAAATAGCAAACATGAATTAATATGAGGGGCTTATAAATTTTTGGAAAGTATTTTCTAAAAATTTTGTTGAGAAAAGAAACTTTTTAAAAGCCAATTGCAGTATTCGGCTTTTATATAAAAATTAAATTGGATTAAAATTCTTCCGGTGTTTGTTGTTAAATTCTTAGTGAAAATTATGTCAAGAAATCAATTTATCATTGTATCCATCGCCATCCTTAAGTTATGTGGATTTTGACAAAAAAAAAAAATTAGAGCAGCGTTCTCTTTGATATGGGCTAGAATCTGGGCCTTCACTCCTAAACAACACTTGTTCATGTTTCCTTACCCCAAAAAACAAAAAAAAAGAATCTACTATCAATATGGCGATATATCAGAATAAACATAACAAAATCTGTGTTACTGTTAGGCAATGCTAGTTAAAACTTAAAGACAGTACATGTCATTTTTCAGACCAGAACAATGGGCATAAATTCTTTTTTTTTTTTTAATGCAAACACCGAGTATAAATTCTAAATTGCTAAGAAACTATGAAATTGCAAGTACTGAAGGGCTTGTTGCTATCGTAGTCATCTTGACGACGAACAATCCTAACATTAATTAGATGCATTGTATGTGCAGTTAACCATAATTTTCATAAGAATACTAGGAACATTATTTGTTTTGCGATAAAACAGTAAAACTGTTTTTTCCCTGAATAAAATACCATGCAATGACAAATATATAATATACATGCCCACCCACTGTTTCATGGGGCGTGCGCTCACCAAACCTATGATGAAGAAAGTGACGACAGCACGGTCCATATACTTTGAGAAATATTTTTAGTTTATATATTTTAATGAGGATCATGATTATACTTTCCACTCATATATTCAAATTATTAAAACATGCTTATGTGCACTAATTAAAATGGTAGCATTCCAAATCAGGGGAGTATTTCTCGGGGAAAGATTTCTTGTCGGAAAATAATTATGAATTTTTTTATATTAATAATCATATTAATAATATTGATTGGTCATGTATCTGACTTGAAGTTTGAAAGCTTCTCATGGCCATACAAATTAAAAACCTAATAATTAGGTGGTTAAAATGATGCATCTCGTTGGTCGGACAGAGCTTTCCAGGTTCTGATAAGGATCTTGCAAGATACTACTTACTAACACTATATGTGTTTATTATCTCCCGAATTTGAATGATTATAATTTTGTCATATATGTGTGTATGTATATCTATGTATGTATACATATAATGCTTTGGCAAACGCATCTTTGTGATAATATGGGTATAGCATAAAGAACATATAGTAGGCAATTCGGCTTGCCTTAACACCATCTTTTTTTTTTTTGAGTATATTTCTTCAATAATGCAAACACACACCACCAGATTGTTTGATAAAACCAGATTAATTAGAGAAAACATCATTGTCGCTTGTACATAATATATCCACTATAATACTGCAAATAGAACACGCCAGCCAAACTATGGAAGAAAAAAAAGGTGTGCCAAATCAATCATAACACGTAAGCATGCATATACTAATGAGTTTGACATGCTCAAATCATTTGGATATGTATCCTAATTAACTCAATTTTCTTACATTTGTACATTAAGTTTATTAGATCCCTAGATCCTATACTATCATAATCACATAAAATATTGACAAGAATATAGTAACAATATCAAGAATATCAAGACATAAAGAATATAGAAGCTCTTCATATGATAAAAAATCTAATGCAATAGATTGAATTTCTACCGGCATCGATTTGATTAATTTGATGTCATCCATTGCTTTCTTGACTTCTTCACTTGATGATGTAAAGAAAGTATAAGAAAGTTTGAAGAATCAAATCAAATACATACATATATATATATATATATATAGACACAGTCACAGACAGTCAAAATTAAACTCAAGCTTGAGGAAAACCAAAATGCTTTGATTGACAGTTGCATATGTTTCCACTGTTCTGTACATATATAATTGCCGAGAGGCCTCTTTCCTCCTTCTCGCTTAATATCGTCCATAGAAAAGAGAACAAGAAAATATGTAGCTATATGTATACTATATATATTGATAAAGATTAAAGAAGCTAAATTAATTAATGGCTACATTTATAAGTTGATTTATGCATTTTTTACGAATCTGATGAGCTCTGAAGCAGTGGCCAGACATCGCATGACTTCAACTTGAGCTCTCAGAGATTGTTATAATCTAGGGTTTTCTTCGATCAAAACCACGTCATCATCCAAGGATTCTCCTCCTGGTAACAGACTCTTGAGCTTTCTCGTTCTCTTCTGAACCAGCCTCTTTCGCATACAACTCGCCGTCACCTTTCTTGACACTGCCTTCTTCTTCATCACTACTCTGCGCACCATACGGCTACGTTTCAAGATCTTCCTCGTTCTGCAGAGGCCAGATGACGATGTCGTACTCACCAGAACCTTCCCTTTTTTCAGCCGCTGGTTCTCCGGCGAGCCCACTATTTGCTCTGTGAGGATTTTGTTGTAGCTGTTCTCATCTCGCGAGGAAGCTTCGGCTATAAGGGCTCGGCTCCACCGTGTGGCTCCGTTCCGGGTTGAAGCCATAGCTAAATCTGCAGAAAGCTTGATGGCTTTCTTTCTCTCTAAGAAGCTCATGTTCTTCTTCAACGATCTGCATTTTCGAAGACCCTTGATCCATTTCCAGAGGAATTCTCGCTTCAGAGAACTGGGCTTTCGCATTCTGCTCAAAGATTTGAGATATGGCGTCAGATCACAAAGAAAACTCATGCGATTACAGTAACAAAGTAGAACATCTCAGATAAGACGACTTTTTTTGAGGTTTCTTAGGTTTAGCTTTTTTAGGTTCTGTAGTAAGAGGATGGTACATATAATAAGTAAAATATATAACTTCCACCATGATTCCATCTCACAATTATATTACCTTTTCATTTAAATGATTCCATCTCACAATTATTATTACCTTTTTCATTTAAAGAAAATATATTCAAAAGCTAGCAGTGTTTCAAATTGCAGAAATCACGGGAAGACGATGCATATTTTTCATCTCGTTAGCAGAACAAGATAATCACAATTATTACAGCTAGAAAACCATATCAAGTAAATTTGTGAGATAATTGCCAACATCACATGTAATGGAAACGACACTTATTGCGATTCAAAACGCAAAAAGGGGGAGGGGGCATAATGAATACCTTGGTGAAAATCTTGAAGGAGAGTCAGAGATAACAGTGGATGAGAAAAGAAGAAGAAGAAGAAGAAGAAGAAGAAGAAGAAGGGAATGGAAGTATACAAGAAGAGAAGAGAGAAGCGAGGAAGGGGGAAAAGGAGCAGAAGAGAGAGAAAGAATGAGAAGGAAGAGAACGGAAGAGGGAGGGAATTTATGTGGTAGCTAGAAGGGAGGATAGTGGCGGGGCCATGAAACAGAGACAGGGCACATGGTGGCACATGGAGGGTAGGGCCCACTGCCAAAACCCTAAGAGAATAATAATGTTAAAAAGCACAAGGTATTGGGGATTAGCATACGGTAAAAGCATATACATGTACAATAAAAGGCGAACCTTCAAGTAATGAAAACCCAACATTTGTATCTTAGTCTTCCAATACGAACAACAACCTCTCTCAAATACGAATCACGTCAAAGCATTATTCTTACACTACATGTGTCCCCACCCCTCGATGACAACTTGATGCCATTCTCCCATGTATCACAAACTAAATTATTCTTACATTAAATTAGGATCGTCAATCACCATTAGTCTAATTGTAAGGATTTTACTCGTAGTCTATGAGACTGAAGATCAAATCACACTTACAATGTAAAGATGTTATTGGTGAACAATATGCAATAAGTATTTTTATATAAGAGCTCTTTAAATTGAAAAGCAAAACCTGATTCTAATATGCTCTAAACTAACTCATATGAACTTTTTATTATAAAAAATTAGAATTGTGCACACGCACATGTACATGCGTGTTAACACGAGTAAGGATATGATTCGTATTGTCCATAGTATATATCCCATTGAAATAGCTCGAGCAAAAATTATTATATTACAATCAAGCTAAAATAACACTATTCTTTGTTATTCTCATCCTGGTTTACAATGTAAAGTATTTTTTAAAAACCCTATCTATCTAAATATGTGAGGTTAATTGGATAGTTCTTATGATTTTTTTTTTCAACTATATATATATATATATATATATATATCCTTTTGAAATGGTCCATTATAATTTTATTCCTTATATATTCATTCTGGTTCACAGTATAAAGTATTTTTTAGAAACTCTACTTATATAAAATATATGAGATAATTGGATAATTCTTATGATTTTTTTTTTCAACTATATATGTCCTTTTGAAATGGTCCATTAAAATTTTAATTGTTATTATTAAAGTACGAGAATAAAAACTATAGAGACTTAATTTAAAATTGAGGAAAACTATAAGCACATGCAAATTAATTTTCCCAAATATACATGTTTCAACTGATTTTTTTTAAGAAATATAAAATATGCGTCAATATCTAGACGGGAGGGAGTAGTTTATTTCCATTTGAATTATGGCGAATTGGGGGATGTATTAGTTGATAATTAATAATTATTGAATTGATTTGACCTGTCACCATAAAATACTATACAGCAACAGTCGTGCGCGCGCGCATGGACAATATATAGGATCGATTGTTTGATTAATTTAACTGAATTAATTATGAACGACAAATAAAACTTCTTGCATGTGCAATAATAATTAAATATTATCGATATTACTATTCATGCCATGCACAAAGATACCTGTCTGTCATTCAAGAGTATGTTGGAATGGTAATTATATGCCTAAGCTAGCTATTCCATTACAATATGTCCAAAAAAAATTATATGTGCATCTATTCTGTATAAAATTGCATAACAATTAAGTCAAGGTAGCTAGCTAGTAGGCATACGTATTAATTATTACTTATTATATATCCTATTAAAAGTTTGTGTACATCAATTATAATTATTGTCTTCTCTTGTAAGAAAAGGAGAAAAATGTGAGTTTACAAAATTTGATCTCAATGAAATGATCGTAGTGTTTCATAGACACATGCCCACACAGAAGGTACTGTGATAAGGTGAAGAAGAAGAATAATATGTATAAATCACTGAAAGTTTAATTTTCTGATAAATTGATGAACAAAATTCCTGCGTTTGAAAAATATCATCACTTTGGGAATTTGTTATCCTTACACAGATGAAGGAAATTATTGAATAAGTAGCATGTATTATAATAAAATTTAAAATGATCTTGACATAATTACTCTCTTGAATAAATCATTAGAATATGTTGAGATATTAATGAAGGGTAAAACAAGAAGAAAATATCTAACACATTACTTCCTTGAAATTCTAAAATTTTCAAAATAACAATTATTTTGAAACCATAATGAGCTTAATTTGTTTGGATTTTAGTTTAACGCGTAGAGAACACAGCTTACCATCCTCCAATCATCTCCATTTCACAAACTGAAACTGTCTTTCAAATCCCAATTTTCGCAACAACACTCCAGGTTGGATTTGCAAGCTTCATCTTCATAAACTGAAACTGTCTCAAGTTTGCAATCGGATTTTCAAACATTGTAGTTGTAGTCTTGTTTGGTTTTGCTTTATGATCCAAATCTTGATTAGCACAAAAGCTGGTCCGAGCCATACTTTTCTTGTTTAGACAAAAAGTTAGCCCAATTAATGACTTTTTGTTTCAAATTAAAGCGTACCATAGTTAAGTCTAAAACTATTTTTTCTTGCAGCTTGATCTCAAACCATGGTTTTCTCATCCATTTCTTGCAAAACTAACTTTTTTTATTGCATATAGATATCTTGTTATTATAGACAATCTTGTCCAAAATATGGTTGAATATTAAATGTAAGTATATATATTTCTCATTGAGAATTCAAATTGGTTAGTCACTGATTATAAGGGATGAGAAAAGATTAAAGAGGCATAGTGAGAAATAGAAGCATATAGAGATTGAAGGAAAAGAGAATTAGCAGGATCCGGAAAACATGCCCTTATCACTCCCCCGCTCACTCGGTCCCACTCATTTCTCTTTTGCACTTTCGCATCCTCTTGCTCCAATTTGTTTCATCGTTTATATTTCACAAATATACTTTGAAGTTTGAACGTAGACGTAGCTTGGCAAAAAAAAAAAAAACTTGTTATTAAGATTTCTGAAACATATGGTTTAGAGGGACAGGGTAAAGAATGCGTGTGTGTGTGTGTCTGTGTGTGTGTATGTATGAAGCCGATGAGCCACAAACACAATGGCCCTTGGTGTTGTTAATTTGGAAAGGGGTTGAAAAGAGTATGCATTCTGAAAATAACTATTAATGGATTAGGGTTATCTACATTAATTTATTTTTAATATATCAATTTAATCAATAGTTTATTTTCAAACTCAAAACTTTAAAAAGTATAAACATAAGTGTTTAAATTTTTTTATATATCCAATTCATACTTGTTCTAGCTTTTTTTTAAAGGAAAGTTTCTAATTTGGAAGATAGTACGAAATTTTATTCATAATTCTAAATTACACAGATAAAAAAAAATCTCCGAATTATACAAAATGCTTGTGATGTGATTCTTCTATTATTCACGCTAAATTTGGAGTTAACTGTGCTTGACGAGCGAGAAAGTGACATTCAAATGAAATGACAAGATTGACAAGCTTGAGGTTAAATATTGTTGAACAAAAGTAAGATAATAGAAAATTATTACATACGTTGTAATCATTGACGTTAATGCAATTTGGTTAAGGAGGTCAAAGAGACTACGTGTATCCCAGTCATCCGCTCATCAAAGTTATCAATATATGATACACTAGCACGAGACAATGATTTTATATTTAATATATGGAAAATAAGACTTGGCCAAAATAAAAAATAAAAATAAGAGTAAAACACTGTAACGGCCCTTCTATTTTGCCTTAATTATACACACCTTATTCTATTTTAAAAACATATAATTTTGGTCCAGTCCATTAACTCCATTAAGAATATTCTAAAAAAAAATTCTAAAAGCTTATTTTAAAATTAAAATTTATATTAGAACAATTTTTATTTACTAACTTATCCCTCACCCTAATAAATCTTAAATTATATTATTCTGACAGTTGCATAATTTCATTGTAAAAACATGTTTACAAATTTTAAATTTAAAACAATTATATAATTTTTCAAAATTATAACATTTTATGTTATATAATGAATAAAAATGTTTTTGAATTATTTTTTTAGCTATTTTAAAAAACATAAATAAATAAGTTTTAATAAATTTGATAACAATTAAAATTATAAAATTTTATAATATGATAAAAATTAATAAACTTTATGATATAATAAAAATTTAAAAATATATTTATTATATTTTTTAGTTGTATACAAAAAAATATTTTTTGGAAAATATAGATTTTAGATAATACTTATGTTAAAGAAGGACATTTTAGTCAAATTAAAAGTTTAAAAGTCAAAGTTAATCGTAAACTAATTGTTAGATGGATGGAAATAGAATTTCAAATATATAAGGGAGATTTATGTAACATGTATTTTAATTTTAATGGAGGTTTATATAAGTTTTCAAAATAGAGAAGAGCTATATGTAATTAAAAGGTTGAATGTTTAAAAATATAAGACAGTTTTAATCTTTTAAAATTAACTATTACATTTTTTTTAAAAGTATTCATATTAAATAAATAACTTTAGATTTATTTTAGGATAAAATATCTTATTAAACAAATATAAAAATAAAACATATGATTAATTTAAAAATAAATAATTATTTTATTAAAGAGTGAGATTTAATTAAAAATATTTATATTTTTTAATAGAGAGAGTAATAAAAAAGTGATCAATGTATTTTACTCTAAAAATAACCAAGCAACTTCATGATGTACTCCATGTTAGAAAAAATAAGTTAAAATGGAAAGCCTTTTAGCATAGACAGAAATAGAATCCACTGATATTTTCTAAGATGAGTTTAGTATCAAATATAAGTGAGGATATAAAATAAATGAATAATGTGATCTATTCGTATTAATGTAAAAAACAAAGGGGAAAGGAATGTGGTTGGTGGACGCACGCATGCAGAGATAGCAAAGGGGGCATATGTGTACACGTGGATGGGACCCACCATGTTGTGAGAAATCTTCCATGATGAGTCATCCCCCAAAAAAAAAATCAGTTTATTCGGTTCCCCTATACAATTTCATAAACATTTGTTGCAATGTTAACAATAATAAAAAAATATCCTCCCAAGTCCCGCATGAAAAAAGTGATTATATTTAGTGTCAAATATGCATTGAATAGAATTAATTTTAATAAAAATATTTATAAATAA